TTCCCGCTCAAACATTTCTCTATTATGAGAGGACAGGTTCAGAAGCACCTCGTAAATCTGTTTCACGGCAACAGTGCAGCCACAATACTTGGCTTCGACAACACTTCCCCAGCCTCCCTTACCAATGCATTTTTCTGTCAGCTGAATTTGATCACGTGAAATGACCCAGTCAGGTGACTGTTGGCGTGGACGTTCACTTAACGCTCGTTGAGCTGTCGAAAGAGATATTTCCAGTTCATTCACTTCTTGTTCTTTTTCCCTCAGTTGTTCCTCCATTGTGGTATTTTCTTCATCTTTTTCTTGTAGCTGTATTTGAGAATTTGTCAACTGTTGCGTCAACTCTCCCAGTTGGCCTTGAACATTTGTCAACTGTTGTGTCATCTGCCTCAATTGTCCATCTCTCACCTGAAGTTGCCCTTGAACATTTGTGAACTGCTGTGTCATCTGCCTTAATTCTCCATCTCTCACCTGAAGTTGCCCTTGAATATTTGTGAACTGCTGTGTCATCTGCCTTAATTCTCCATCTCTCTCCTGTAGTTGCCCTTGAACATTTGTGAACTGTTGTGTCATCTGCCTCAATTCTCCATCTCTCTCCTGTAGTTGCCCTTGAACATTTGTCAACTGTTGTGTCATCTGCCTCAATTCTCCATCTCTCTCCTGTAGTTGCCCTTGAACATTTGTCTGTTGTTGCGTCGCTTCCCTCAGTTGTCCGTCTCTCTGTCTTAGTTGCTCTTGGAGATTTTCCAACTGCTGTCTCAACTCCCTCGATTGTCCTTAAAGAAATAAGGACAGAAGGACGCCAATTTCGGCTTTTTGTGTCAGACTAAAAATAGACAATTTCCTTTAGTCCCACGCTTAGTGTAATATCTAGAGAGGATCAAACTTAGAGACTGAATCTTCTATAGTTGCCTCATTCTAGAGTGGATTTTCTCTCAATATAAATTAATTCATTTTAATTTTAGTTCCAAGGTATCTGATCTTAAGATAATAATGTACCTGGTGTGTTGCTTGAATTCTTAATTTTTTTACCTCCATGTATAGTTTATTCAGTCTAGCTCCTCTCTTGTTCTTCTGTTGGTTACACTCATGGCTGGCCTTATTTTTCTTCTATTTACAAATACAAACTACATTTCCTTTGATGGTTATTTTCGTTTATTTTTTTGGAGAGACTAATTTTTTGGTCATATATATTACGGCTAACTATGAGAAGGAGAGCAGACCAAATACACTAATTTTTTATCGCCCCCCCCCCCCCCCCCTCACCCTCAGAACATTTGAGCAGACCACCCGACCCCCTTCCTTCCCCTCCCCTCGTATCAATCCCTTCTCCCCTCTTCTCTCCACCGTCGCCTTACCACCCCTCCGGTTGTTTGCTTT